GGCTACTTGTAGGTGATCTTTGCCAAAAGAAAAGACAAAAAATAAAAAAGGTGAAAATAAGATAGATAAAAATATATATTTCCTGACAATATCACATTAGGCTTTCTTTCATGGTTTGTATAAAGCTGAGGCCCTAAACAATCAAAGTAAGGTGCACCTTCAAATAGTGTCGAAACATGATGTTTTAATATTTGAAATCTTTGCAACGGCATGAAAATTTATTTTCATCTCTAATTATAAAATTTAAAGACTAAAAAATAATGTAGATTAAGCAGATCTATGAACACTTGAAAATTGAAGGTCTAGATAATACTACAAGATGCACTATTTCTAAGACATGAAATCTAGTTTTTCTCATGTCCATGTATCTTGAAGTTGAGATGATTAAATTAAGAGTTTTTCAGCACTGAAGCAACCTCTTCTAGTGAATTTTGAGGTGCACCATAACTTGATTGTTTAGGGCCTCACCTTATAAAAATCTTTTCCAATAATTAATGATACATTCACAAGGAGGCGTAAAAGTCACTAACACCAAAAGGTACTCTAAATTGAATGAGAAAGCAGGGTGTATTGGTCATTCAATAAAGGGTGGGGCTTGTATATAGCAGAGGTTCTAAACAATAAAAGTAAAGCGCACCTTCAAATAGTATCGAGAAATGTGGTTTCAATATTGGAAATCTTTGTCATAGTCTTAAAATATATTTCATTTTTAATTTTGAAATTTAAAGCTTCAAAAATAGTGTAGACCAAGCATATTTATGATAACTTGAAAATTGATGGTCCAAAAATACATTATAAAATATACTATTTTCAAAACTTGAAATCCATTTTTTTTTTTGTGATGTCCATATATCTTGAGATCGAGATAATCAATTTAAGAATATTTGACCATCCAAACAACCTCTTTTAATGAAATTTTTGAGATAAGCCCTAATTTGATTATTTAGAACCTCGGCTCTATATAAACTTTTTCCTTCAATAGAACTTCAGGGAACTTCTGTGTTTTCTTCCCATTACACTTAAGACTTACCTCTTTTTTTTTTCCACTACTCTTTAGATTTTCCTATGGCGAGAACCCCAGCTTTTAATTATTATTGTAAATATCCATGCCTGCATTTCGCTCCACATATGCTAACACTATCTTCTGTGTTTCTCGTTTTCATGGTGTAATTAATGTTCAGCACTTCATTCCAATTTATTGAGAAATTTTTTTGATAATGATAACATTTTTTGTCTGTTAGTCAACGCCAACTTATATAAAAGATTTGATAATGATAACAAACAAGTACGACAGAATCCAGCTTTACAAAATTTTGAGTTTCAAAAAATAAAAATCGGCCATTTCAATTTCCTCCCGGTAAGTTCGCTGATCCTGCCTTTTAAGAAAGTTTGCCTCGTGTATTTGTATCGAAAAAGTTTATATTAGGATGTTATCTTATAATGTACTACGGATGCCCCTCAAAAATCCAATAGTTTTAATGTTGAAAAACCTTTTGATTGATCATCAAAAATCCAATAGTTTTAATGTTGAAAAACCTTTGTTTGACCATCGAGATGTATGACTATAAGAAATAAAAGGATTTTTAAGTCTCGAAAATAGTGTATTTTACAACATATTATCTACACCGTCTATTTTCAAGATTTTCTTATGTTTATAGATCTATTTGATTTTAACTATTTTAAAATTTTAAAATTTTATAATTAAATATAAAAATAAATTTTAAAATAATCCTAATAACATTTTACATCAAAATTATATACCATCATAATAAAATTGGAAGCGCACCATACCTCTACACCTGCGAGAGGTCCGTAACCGCACCCATTTATATTTGCTTCTAGTATCTGACATAAAAATTACCATTTTTCACCCAAACATTTTAAAGATGTTTCTATTGGTGCGCACTGTACATTTGCTTCCCCATACAAAAACATATTTTAATCTCAAATTTTGGGGTAAAAATATATATTTCATCTTGAAAAGATATTTTATTCGAGAAACGAAGAGTGCAATGTACTCTCGTAAGAACATAGTATATGTATTTTTCATCTAAAGGTATAAGAGGGCCGATCATTCACTTGTCTTTTACCTTGAGTATGATCAAATTCAAATTCCTAATTGACTTTAGTGACAAAAAAAATCATTACATTTTTAAAATCGAACACAGAATTTCAAGCTTGATACCGATCTCTTAGCCATATAAATTGTCTCATTCTATACCTTTCCAAATGGGGGTTCAAAACCTTGGTTCCAAATCTAAAGTTTCCAACTTGGGGTATATTGGGAAAATTAAAAAAGAATAAAAAAGATATATGAGCACAAAGAATAATAATTGAAAATATCTTTAATTCCACAACTTATCGAGGATATTATAGTAAATCTCCCAAAAGAAAATAAGTTATTTAATTTAGTTATATTTTGACATATTAGTACAGAAATTATTGCGCAATGTATTTGTGGATGTATTGCCCACTAAACCCCATATATTAAAATTTAAAAAATATCACAAATAAAGCCAAGTAAAAGATTATTGTCAAAAAAAAAAAAAATCCAAGTAAAGAGAGTAATTTTAAGACCTCAAATTTTGAGGAAATAACCCCTTAAACCCATAGATTAACCTCATAATGTCCTAATTGTACCCTTTATAAGATTCAAAAAAATAATATCTCGAGATTAAATAGAGACCATTCAATTTGGGAGCAGTGAGATCAAAGTGTTAGAAAATTCAATTTTTATTTTTAGTCTTTAAAAAATAAATCTGATAATTTTTCAGCGATTTCCCAAAAAATTCAGATAGAAAAACCTCCTTCCAAATAAGTCCTCTGACCAAAAAAATAGAAGTGCTCTTCCACTTATTTCAAAGAAATAAAGTTTTACTTTAGTCGAGTTTAATGCTAATGGTAATAAAACTCCAATCGGAAATAGGAATAATTTTTATTAACTTCAAAATAGAGAGGGGCACTATGGTCAATTTGTCATCGAACAACAAGGTAGATACAGTAACCTGCGAGAGCAGTTATTTCCTTTTTGTTTTTTGACACCGAAAGTGAAACCAAAAGAGATTGCTTTGGGGGACCTCGAAACAAGTAAAGACAATCAATTGGTTGGCCGTTTTTTTTCTGTGGGCTGTTTTTTCGATTTCCTCTCTCTACAGGCTGTATTTCATATTTCCTATTTCCCCTCTCTACAGGCTGTATTTCATATTTCCTGTTTCCCCTCTCTTTTCTTTCTCTCTCTATGGGCTGTTTTTCCCTCTTTCCCCTCTCTCATCAATTAGTGGACTGCGTTTGCTATTCTCTCTCTCTCCAATCAATTAGTTGGCTGCGTTTGCTAATCTCTCTCTAGAATCCGCGGGTTGGGTTGGCTTTGCTTGCTATGCTCACTTTCTGTCTCTCGCTCTAGATGTATTGGCTGTTGCGCCTCTATATTTTTTTTTTCGTAAATAACCAACCAAAGAAATAAAAGCGAAGGTTTTTATGTTTACCCCACATAAAATTTCTACCCTCTCCTCAATTCAATTTTGATCAAGAGAATCATTCTTCGTTTGATATTAGATCCGACATCTTAAAGTATTTTAATTTTAGTCCGACATCTTAAAGTATTTTAATTTTAGTTTTTTTATATAAATTGTATGATTATGAAGTTTAGTACGTATCATTTTTTCATGGGGATGTATCTATAAAAAAATATTAAAAATAAATTTTTGATAAAATATAATAACGAAAATACCTCTTGAAATTTTTAAAGATATTTTGGTTATTTTATTTTATTAAAAATATTTTTTTTATATTTTTCATTGATGCGAGATTAATAGAGTACAAGTTTAATAGAGGAATGGACGTCCAAATTTTGGTGTTAAAACAGTTTATAAAAAAATTAAAAATAAAATACTGTAAAAACTTGACGTTGTTATTGGGGCAATCTTAACCCCCTATTCAGAATGGAGGGTTGGATAAAGAGAAGTATAAAGGTTTATGCGGTAAGAAAAGCACACAGAGCTTGCCCAAAAATGAAAATATGCTAATTTTTTTAGTTTTTGAAACCTATAGCTACTTCTGTGACTATTTTTCCAAAATACATGCTGAATAGCAAAAAGCAGGAGGAAATAGAATCCTTAAAGAATAAACTTTCCTTTTGCCACTTCAACAACTAAAAAATATTATTTTTTAATACTTTTATTTTTTCTTATTGTTCTTCTTTTCTTGTTTGTGTGTATTTTAATGATCTTCATTATTTTAGGAATAGATCAGTGGACAAAAAATATACATAAAAGGGTTTAATGGCCGATCATTTGCAGAAAAAAATACAGCCTTTCTCGATTTATTCCAAAAATTGCATTCAAAATATTTAAAATGTTAAGCTAATCGATCAGAGATCCAGATCAAACCCAACCTCCATTAATGATCAGAAGCAGACTGGTAAGAAGATCCAGAAGAAACTATAAGTATAAGAAGAACAGAAAAATTACTCTTTCTTAAATAGGAATTGCATAGAATCCTGTTTTAGTCCATTAACAATTCGAATAAAACAGGCTTGAAAATTTGTTTTCGTAAAGATCCATCATCTGTAAATTTCAACCAAAACGTATTGAAGCACAAACCATATGAACTGGATTACTCGATCGTGAACTAATCCGTCGATGATTATTCGTTTATTGCCTATAACATATGAGAATCCGATCAAAAAAAGGATAGAGACAACAAATAGGAAAGGGAAGTAAAGGAATTTCTTTGATCCTTGAAAAACTGTAAATTTCTAAGAAGATGGCAATCAATTGATCAAGATCTACTGATACAAACTTCCCTATGCAAAAATCAATGCATAAACGACCGTAAAATGATAATAGAAAACAAAAAAGTAGTAATCAGTAATCCACTTCTGCGTACTGTAAATTTCTTATTACTATTTGAAGAGCGAGAAACTCTTCGTGAAAGCTATAAAAGGAAAGAAAAACCAGAAAAGTCATAAAAGAGAGAAAGGAGGATTCAGAGATGCTTACTTGCTTGGATGCCCTCTGTTGACGATTTCGCTGCTTATGGATTGCTTTCAGAACAAGGAAACCAGACCAATGTTTAGAGAATGTTTAGAGAGAGAAAGATATTTCCACTCGACCAATGTCTAGCACTTTCAGAACGCAAAAAGCAATGTATTTTTAGAGAGAGAGAGAGAGATGAGAAACTCAGTTTGTAGAGAGAGAGATGAGATCAGATGAGAAACAGAGGGGGAGAGAGAGAGATTCTTGTAGCAAGGGTGGCGTGTGTGGGGTCCAGTAGAAGCGTGTAGTGGACCTGCAAAATCAGAATGAGTTAGGTCATAAAATGCATAGACGCCATAAAAAGGCCTACTCTTTGTCTAATATGACGATAAACAATTATCATTTCTAAAGAGTTGCAATTTTCTAGAAGGCCTGGGCTTTATGAAGACAAAGTGAACCCTCACCACAAATTATTTATTTTTATTTTTTTTTATTATTTTTTTTTTTTTTTTTAAGAAAGCACTCTAGGTATTGAAAATCATTATAATGGCTTTAAAATCAATTTTTAATATTGATTATGAAATTTGAAACTTAAAAAATGAACGGATCTCACATATCCGTAAGTATTTTTTTTCTATGGTGAAATGAACAATTACAACATACACTATTTTGTAGCTTCAAATCTTAGTTTTTTTCACACGCATATTGGTCAAGATAGAGATTATTGATTTGAAGGTTTTCCAACGCCAAAACCACAACTTTTGGTAAGTTTTGAGGTGAGGCTTTATTCATGCTGCAGCCCTATCAAAACATTTTCCTTTTTAAAGTGACCATTGGCTCTCTTTCTTAAGGGGAGTTATGGCTAATGTTCAAATAACGGAATTATAACGTTATAATGGCACTGCGTTGTCACAGTTCTAAATGGGATTGGTGTTGTTATAAAGCGGAATAACCTCACTGTACAACAGCAGTTATAATGGCATTATGATTGTTGTTTTGGAATATCAAACGTGATTTGGTGATAGGCGATATAGCTGCCAAAGCTAATTACGACTATAAAACGGTCAGAAGCAGAATTATTGAAAACCTTGAATGGGATTAAAATGGTTGTATTGTAACACCCATTATTTATGTCTTAGGCTCAATTCCTACAAAAAAGTAAGTGTCACAGTTCTAATCACTGTAGCACTTCTCATGTTTTTTAACAAGAAATGCCACACTGCGGCTTTGGCAATAGCCTCTTTCACGAAGAAATGCCACTCTGCGGCTTTGGCAATAGCCCCTTTCACCAATTAAACATGCAGATAGGGTTTAGCACCGACGCTTAAAACAATCAAATTAAATTTCACTAAAAGAGGATATTTTGATGCACAAATTAAAAATTGATCATCTCAGCATAAGGATGCATGGACATCTGAAAAAAATGGATTTCAAGTTTTGTAAATAGTGCAACTTGTAATGCATTTTGGACCATCAATTTTCAAGATTTCCATTTTTTTATACATCTACTTAATCTGCACTATTTTTGGAGCTTTAAATTTTATAATTAGATATGAAAATATTTTTTAAGGCTATCATAAAAATTTTAAATATTGAAACCACATGTCTTGATACTATTTGAATGTGGGCTTTACTTTAATGGTTTAGAGCCTCGGCTCTATAAAAACCGCACCCTTCAAGTAATGCCTCGTGTTGTTTCTTTTTGTTTTGTGTTTTTTTTTTATAAAGGAGTGTTTGACAAATGGAAGCCCAGTTATCGAGCTGCAACTTCTAATTCGTACAGCACTTCCTAAGTTAGTATTAAGAAGGGTGTCCGAACAATCAAATCAGAAGCCACTTTCAAATAGTGTAAGAGAATGGGGTTTCAATATTAAAAATATTTGTAATAGCCTTAAAATATATTTTTATTTTTATTTATAAAGTTTAAAGCTTTAAAAATAGTTTAGATCGATTGATCTATGAAAATTTGAAAATCTTGAAAACTGGCGATTCAAAAGAGTGTTACAAAATACACTATTTTCAAAACTTTAAATCTATTTTTTTCTCATGTCTATACATCTTGATGTCGAGATGACCAATTTGAAGATATTTGAACGTCAAAACAACCTCTTCTAGTAAAAAAAATTATGTTGGCTCTAATTTGATGCTTTAGAGCCTCGACTCTATATAGACTTTTCCCTAATAAGAAACGCCAAACAGTTGTGAAAGATAGAGCTTAAAAAATTGGTAAAAGAGAACCTCATCTTTCACCAATCAAACCAATGTTGTTAGATTCATTTCGGAGTCTTTTTCGGTTTGGTGAAAAAAATGAAACAATTCGGTGCTTCGGCTAATTCGGAAGAAGACTTTCGGATTTTTTTTTTAAAAAAAATAGTATAAATATCTAATATATTTATATATAAAATATACGCCAATAATGCAAAAAAAGTACTTTTATATAGCTATTTTTTTGCTGGCTGAAGCAGACCAAAATAAGACCTGAATCATATCCGAAGTGGCCCAAATCTGACAGAAGCAACCCGAAATGGCCGCACCCGGCTTCGCTTCTCTTCGGTTTATATCCAAAATCCGAAGGGCTGAAGCAAAGGGAATTTGATAACATTGAATCAAACGCACCCTAAAAAATACACATTTCTTTTATCGATATTATAGAATCTGAACCATATGTATAGTACAACTAGCGTCATCGCCATCCAATCCAAATAATTGATGCTTGAGATTAACTGTACTTTCCTTAAAATAAAAGACTCTATGACACCATACACCACTAGTCTATGGTATGACTAAATCAAAGACTATAATACACACAACCAGTCTATGTGTGACTTCTGCATGATTCTTGACAGGGCAGCGGCCTAGGACGGTCATTTGACTCGGGCGAGGACTTTTTGAATTTCCCCCCTTAAAATATATGGGGTAATCGGACATTTTAAAAAAGGAAGGGGTATAATAGTCATTTTGCGATGAAAAGGTTCTTTCCGAAGAGGCCAAGCGTAGCCGACCAAAACCGACCCCGTCAAATAAGGGAAACGTGACGACGGAGCCGGCTTTAAGTAGCTATTGACCGGTAGTTAATCCTCCTATTAATAACTGACTAATTTGCCCCTAATCTTTTTAAAAAGACTAAAGCGATCATGTCTTCCTCCTTCCTAGTGTACGATATTAAACCAGGATTGTATACTCTATGAATCACAATTACTCCTCCATTAATAAGATGGTTTGAGTTGTATAACCATGCTCAAAAAAATTTTTTTTCGACTTGGAGTCTAGTGAAAAGACACATTCATAACCATCGGATTTGGGATTTGAAGTAGTATAGATAAAAATGATTGTGATCTCTTTATACTAAAACTAAATGATCAAGTAAATGGATTAAAGCTTGGTCTGCACTTCTGATTCTTGAATAATCAGGTGCTTGATCCCATTCACTCGGTCTGAGTAAGACTAGGCTATAGTTAACAAAGAAAATAAAATAAAAAATTTTGCACTTTCAAGCAATTAGCGTGTTCTACTTAAAATTGCCTATCTCTTGATCTCGATCACACTAGGGTAACTTCGAGTAGAACCTTGTAACCATGCTTAAGATTATAAAACATACCATATCGTAACCAATGTAAAAAATAATCATTATGGATCACAGTAAAGTTTTTTTTTTCTGGAGTTATGGTAGAGTAAAAGCATACTTCTTTTATAGATGGACGGCCTAGATAAGATAGGCACATCCACCGACGATAGAGATTGGATCTCATGGATTGTAGATGCGAGGATTGGTAGTTGGGGCATGTATGCAGATGCATTGAATTTGATTTAATTGAAGATGTCTGAAACAATTTAACTGGAGCTTACGCAGTGTTCACTAGGGAACATGCTGCATATACTCCGCATGAGCATAGTATAATCTAGTTACCTGACAAAATAATAATAATAAATACATAGTATACAAAAAAAAATGCATAGTATAATCTTCCTTACAAATTAGAGGCAAATATCTATTTCTAGTAAACATTATTCAAGAGTATTACAGAGCTCCATAGACACTCCATATAGTAACAGCCAATTGTGGACAGACTTTCAGATTATAGGTGGACCATTTATGACATCTATTGTGAAGTAAATACACTCGTCAAAAAGTGAATGTATGTGGTACTACTATTTAGCATTCTAGACTACCATATTTTATTTTTTTGTTTTTATTTTATGATTTAACACAATTACCCTTCAATGAAGTTGCTAAAAATGTGGTATGTATTTTCTCAATTTTTAGTGAATAAAAAATGGGCAGGGTGCGTCCTCCCCCATTGACTTGCCAAAAAATATTAGAGGCTCTCTTTAAGATGAAGTTTCTAAATACTAGAGGCATTTAAATCTCTTTAGAATGATGTTTCTATAGCGCTGCAGCCCTATTTATATTGACTTTGGACTACAACCATCTGCACCGTCTATGTATTTGGACGGTGCAGATCTTGCAAACTCCCTAATATGCGAAACCGGGTCTTCCGGTTGGCATCTCTCTTAGTTATTCCTTCTCCAGCTCCTGGCTCAACCAGAGATAAAACCCACAAGCCCCATCCTCTCTCGCCTCCACCTCTCTGCCCATGACAAAACCAGCACTCACCTCTCTCTTTACTCACAACAAAACCATTTTTGGGTTTGAACTGCAGAAACAAATTCAGGTTTATTTGTTTCCTTCACCAAGGTTAAGTTTTTTTATTGCACATTGAATGATTTTGGGTGCCATTCGAAGTTCAAGCTCAAGGGATTCAGGTAAGTAAAATCTTTGATTGAGGTTTCTTTCTCTAAGTCTCATGTGTACTTTTAGATTTCTGAGAACTTTAAATTAGAATCTGGATTCATTAGAGGACTCTGTAGTTCTGTGCATCTCGCATTCTATCTGTAAATGGGATTGCTTTCTTTTTTCCTTTTTCATTTTCTTTGCATACTTCTGGTTTTTTAAATCTGAGGCTTTACAGCGGTCTATCTGATGAATAAAATTCTCTCTCTCAACTTACAGAGGTCTCTCTAAAATAGGTCCTTCAAGAGAAATATGTTTGTGTTTGTTCAATAATGGTTCTCTTTCGACTTTAGATCTTTGCATTCTTAGGTTTTTTTGGCTTGGTCACTAGTCACATGCCATGGGTTTCAAGAAAGAGGAGTCCATGTTGTTTCACGAGCTTGTTCTCTCCAAAAAAACAAAATTGAAATAAATAAAAACCCCCCAAACATGCATATATGTGATTTGGATTTTTGA